TCCTTTCACGTGAGAAGCCTCGAGTTTTCAGCCACCACGTCTAGGTAGTTGCTATTTTGTGGCCTTTAAAGTACATCTCACTTTTATACAATCCGTGTCTGCATGTGATTTGCGCTAGTCTGTTACTGCGCATCACGTCGGTCGGTGCACCAAACCTTATGCGTGGTCGGCTGGATTCGCACATCAAGACACGCAATAAATTAGGGGATGACGTCTATCAAACTCATTTCGCGTTCTGAAGGTCTCATAGTACGCTAAGAGTCTGGGACTAGATACTTTTTCCGTTGAGGGGCACCGTCGCCCTACTGAGCACAGCCGGCCAAAAACAGTGACCTTTTCCTAACGTGGGCTTTATAACACTCTTCCTTTTTTGAGATTGTAGACTGCCCCCATTGAAGGTGGCACGTAGGACGTGTTCACACTGGTTTTAGGTTTGCCCGAAACTGCGTCCATGTCCACCACTTTACTTTGTTCTGCCAATGGAATACGACTGATGTGAGAAAGTTGGAGGGAGGTGGGTGCAAAACAAGTCTGATTATAATGAATTATTTCACACACAAGCCAATGCTGTGTCCACCTCATGTGATGGCGATGTTCGCCGTAATTCCCAATTAACGAGCTGTCAGCTGGTCCATGTCTCGCGTGGATGCGCACGACAGTCCTTGCGCTAGATGTGGCTCGTTGAACACCGTTTCACGTTATCATGCGCTTCCGCGCACACATTCTCTCACTCCTGGGAATTCGTCATGCACTATCATGCATCCGCTTATCTCTCCTCGTTTTATCGCCCCTACCCCCCCTCTTTCCCAGTTCATACTCATTCCCCGTCTTCCGTCTACCACCGTCGAGCGTTTGAGAGGCTACTGTTGAGCCCGGGTCTACATGTGAGAACACGCGGGGGACTTTTATTGGCCCCAGCTTTTCACCCCAGTGCCGGTATGAACAGTGTTTACCTGATAAGTATGCACATATCTGAACATCGGGCAAGGCTTGTCAGGGAGGCCAACAACGGTTTAGTCATCACTTACCTACTGACATATTTTCGACGTGTAGGAGACATATCAGACCTG